ATTATGCACAATTAATCAAAATTTTACTCTTATTTTTCTTCTTTTTTTTTTTTTTGGTTTGAACAAATAACCGTAATTTTATTAATTATTATTATTAGTACTAGTATGTAACCCGTGCGTTGCACGGCGGGTATTAAGATATTATTATATATTGTGTGAAATAATATTGATTGTACATGTCACAATTAAGTATAAAAATCGAATCAAATTTTTAGTGTATAATTATCGCGATTGCGACTGGCCCTACCTCTTATCTATTGTCATCGCAAAACATGCGATGAATGGAATTGCCTTCGTATAAGAGAATTGGGAATTGCTTTCGTTTAAGAAGAATGACCGACGAACCTTATTCCGTATTTATTTTTATCTTTCTATTTTTATTTTGTTGACAGTCCATTGAACCAAAAAATGAAAAAGAAAAAAAAAGAAACCAAGCATTTACTTATTTTTTTAAAGATACATTCTTTAAAAGTGTTACATATCTCTGAAAGGTCTGTCTTTTAGGGGATCTCATTCCATCTTCATTTTCATCTTTAAAAGTATGTTACTTTATATTGTTCTGCATAAAAAAAAATTCAAAGTCTCGGATAAGTTAAAAACCAGCGATTGTTTTGGCTGCAATTTTAGTTTTTTTAACAATCTGTTGAAAAAAAAATTAAAAAATGAATAAGATACGGCGAAACTCATTCCATTTTCATTTTCTTCTTTTCATCTTCATTTTTGATAATCTGTTAAAAAAAAGAACAACCAAAGCATTATTTACTTGTCCAAAGAAAAATTATTCAAAAGTGTTATCTATTTACTTGTCAAAAGACATTTCAGGTCTTCGATCCGGGGGGAGGGGGGAGGGGGCTGGATTTCAAACCTATTAAACACGATCATCATTAATCACCCCAAAATTTCAAATATTCTCAAATAAACTCATGCCTCGTTTTTTTTTAATCTATTTATCTACCGTTAAAAAAATAAAAATTAGAAAGTAACTCAGATTTGATAGTGTAGAATAAATATCTGATCTGTGACAGTCTATTATTGGAATTCTAAGAGTTTAAGGGAATTTTGGCTGCTATTTTAGTACTTTTTGATCGCTCGTTGAACAAAAAAAAACAACAAACAAACAGGCAGTTCTCATTCTGTCTTCATTTTTATCTTTCTATCTATGTTTTCGACACCCATTGAACACAAAAATAAAAATAAAAATAAAAATAAAAATTGAAACATTACTTACTTGTCCAAATTATTTTCGAAAAGTATTATCTACTTAAAAAAGGGACCGTCTTTGAATTTTCGGATCTTATTCCAGCTTAATTTTCATCTTTAACAACATGTCATTCTATATCGTCCTACTTAAAAGATTTTGAGTTTTTGGAGGTAAGATAGTTTTGTTATATTTAATTATTTTTTGACAACCCGTTGAACAGAATAATAATAATAATAATAATAATAATAATAATAATAATAAGAAGAAGAAGAAGAAGAAGAAGAAGAAGAAGAAGAAGAAGAAGCGGCAAATCTCATTCCATCTTTATTTTCATCTTCCGTCTTTGCTTTGTTAACAACCCGTTGAATCCCCCCCTCCTCCAAAGAGAATCAAACATTAGTAACTTGTCCGAAGAGAAATTCTTCAAAAGTGTTATCTAATTATAAAAGAATCGTCTTTCGGCGGGTCTCATTCCATCTTTATTTTTATCTTTAATAGTATGTGACTCTGTATTTTATTTTGTTTTTATCACCATATACAATAGAAATTCTTGGACACGGTAATAGTAATAATCTTTTTTTTTACCCTAGAGGTAAATAGTCATTTGTAATCATGACGAATATTTCTTAACATTTGTATAATACTCGTGTCAAATCTTAGTCGACATACTGTATTAGAGCATATTTTGTTTAGAAATCAATATTATTTCTCAAGACTCAAGCTACATATATGCAAATGGTGAGCTGTTTCCTATACTACAGTATTTTTAAAAAATTATTTCTACAATGTTGTGATATACTTTAAAGAAATATTTAAAAGTTATAACTACTACAAGCAAGTTATAACTACTACAAGCAAGAAAATTATTTGGTAATAACTACTACAAGTAACCACACTAGACACGGCGCCTTCACCGCTATTTCTTTTCATCATTTTGTTTGAACCAAATCGGAATTTCTTTAACTATTATTACAAAATTTGGCCAATATTCACGCCTCAAAAATCTGGAATCATTTTGGCCCAGACTATACTTACTGACACCAAATCTTTGTGTATAAACAAGTAAGCCTAGGATCTCTCACCTTCCTTCATCTCCACATTCTTTCTTCTCCCTCTTACAAAAACACAAACTCCGGTGCTCAGACACTCAGTAACAGACAACTAACTTTTACTACCCTGAGGATCAGAAGATTATGGCTCGTCCGTACAATGTCACCATCTTCTTGATTCTCTCATTACTTGTGGTATTAGTTACATTGCCCAACGAAGTCGAGGTAATGAACAAAAAGAACCCTTTAATTCATCTCGATTTTTTTTTGCTTAGTAGTTAGTACTGAGTTCCACGGATCAGGTGTCTAATGATTTTAATTTTTTCTTGGTACTTAGGCTTACAACCGACTTCGTCCAAAAGGTATGCTTAGGCCAATACGTATACTTTTTTAAACACTCGGACAATTGTCTTATGTTTCTTTCGTTCTTCTGTTTTGCAAATGGAAAATCTGGGCACGAATCGAATCAAAATGGTAGATTGCCAGCCAAGATGTGGATATCGATGCTCGGCGACATCACACCGGAAGCCGTGCATGTTCTTCTGCTTAAAGTAAATAATATATTCCAAGAATCTTTTTACACTAAGGGCATGTTTGGTTATTTGTTGCCTCCAGTTTTTTTGTTTTTATTTTTTATGTAGTTATGTTTTTAATGAATGTCTCTATATCTTTGTCATCTAAACTTTAAAGATATATCTTTCATTACAATACTTAGATGACATATAGGTCTTTTTACGGATGAACTACGCCCCTGAAGCCCGGATTTGAATTTCTTTCTGGTAGTCCCCTCGTGTACTTAGGATTTACCAATGAGTAAATTTGCTTCCCTAAGTAGCATTCGCTGCGGCATAAGATGTTCAATTTTCCAAATCTGAGGGGATTCCATCACTTGATTTATATTTTCAGTAATTATTTTTCTGAAATGCGAAGACAGTTTTCTTCCATGCAGTTAATAATGCTCTGGTTTCTTCACTTCTTACGTTGCATTGTGGTATTTTCATGTTTTAACTTGCTCGCCGTTGTTTCTGTTGCTCAGCACACCATATTGACTTGGGTGGTTCCAAATTGCCGTTGTCCTTTATTCTGTTGTCCTCTCCCTTCTAATAAAGCTGGACCTGCTGAATCCCAGATAACAGGTGATGTAGATTTCTACCCGAAATCCCCAAAATCGGAAGCGAAACATATGGATATGAAAGGTAACCCTTGTCCCGGACTTTACCATTCCACAAACGCTCTTTCAGGAGTTTATTAACAGACAATGAAGCACTGAATGGTGACAAAAACTCCAGTAACCAAACTGATTTTCAGATTACATGCAAAACCGACGAAAGTAGTAATTATAACAAAAAATGAACCCCAGGCAAACAACGTCGAATTGCCCTGAAAATTTGACACAATACTTATATTAGGGAATGAAAATTTATGGCAAATTTTGAGCACATTTGGACGCCTACAGCCCCAGTAACCAAAATGGGTAGTAGCTAAATGGATTTGGACCAATCTGCCACAGAAAATATATTGGATTCGTTTATATAGTAAACGAATTTATTTTGACCTGAAATTTAGACACAATATCTCCAATACACTGAAGTTAAAACCCACCAGATTTCAGAATTTTTGGACAACTAAAAGTACTAAAACAAAAATTGGAAAAACAGACTGACCCTAAGTGATACAACCTGGAGTCATGCAATGTTTGGCTTAATAAATTGACACCCCTGGCCTACTAAACCCTTTTAGACTTACAAGATAGGATTTTCAGAAAATATGAAGTCAAACACATGGAGCACGCAGGCAGAATCGAAGACGCAAGGATCAATCGCAAGATATAACCATGAACACAATTCACGGTTTGGCTAGATTACTTAGTAATAAAGGAATTCGATACACAAATAGATGCAGCCACCAAAACTACACCTAAAAGAGCAATATGACATGAGATCTGAATGGAAAGAGAGCTTAGTATGCTACCAAGTTGATAACAACAACCAAAGTAAAGGAATCACTAACAATCGCAAAGGAAATGGATTCAACGACCTTGGCTCCTCTTAGATTGTTACAAACTTGATTAGAGAGCTCCAACAACCAGGCCAAACTCATCCCTAGCTGCCATACTCGTTGCTTGACACTCCCGGAGTGCAAACCACCAAAGTCCAACCTTGGAATTGCAAGATTTCACCATGGACAATCCATTGATGATCTCTCGGTTTCAAGCTTTGAAAAGCTATGGAATTTTCTTCTTTTTTTTTTTTTTTTAAAGTTGCCACCATCTCTAAAATAATACAACTAGCTTTCCTATACTATTAGAAAATCTTAGAAAAATAATTACTTGACTTAGTGGACCTTTCCTGGTCCCTAAGGAATCCCTCTTTCAGGCTCTAACACTTAAAATAACTTACAACATCAAAATAAACCAAAAATCAGGCCACAACATCAAACCGGCAAGCTGAAACGGCTCTCCCGGGTTCTTGACTCGGCAAAATGGGCCGTTTTGAGAAAACTCTCACAAAATGGCAAAATCTCCCGGACAAGCTGGGTTCTACCTCCGATAATGTGTATATAAAATGTCCAAAACGATCATCGGATGTAAAAAATTGAGCCTGGGTGAAGAGTTGTCCGAGTAATGACCTTTTCCCGGCAAACGGGTTAGCCGAATAGGTGCATTTGTTGATTCTCTCGGCAAACATCATTTTTCCTCGGGCAAGTTGAATTATTTCCCCGCAAACCATACCTGAAAGGACCAGAAAACACTAGACTTGAATGGTAAGGAAATTGATCAACCTAGCGTCATACTCTTTCGGTATAGGTACTTCCGTCTGACGTAGGAGACCATTGACACTTTCTTGCAACTTCTTGGCTTTAGAACGTGTCCTAGGACCAGAAGACTTAGGTGTCATGATGGGAGCTTCCTCAGGAAGGTCTACATCAACAGGTCCAACAAAATGATCCGAATTATCCTTAAGAATATTCTTTTCAGCTGAACTTTTCTAGAGATTGCTGTTGTGCACTTTAGTAACACCTGGCTGATATTTAAAGTGCTGAACATGGCTGAGCATTGCTGCACGTACGCCTTTGCAGTCATTTTATGAAAAAGATGGCCCATTTTGGGCCCTGGTGTCCTCTTACCAAACATTTCCGGCACTTCACAATCAACCCTTCTCTGCGCTTTATTTCCCTGTGATTGCTATGTATCCTTATGCCATTCATGTGCACTTTTAAACCAGTTGTCTCCAATGCCTTTACAAAGGTGCTGATAATAAAGAACAGATGCAAGAGTTTTTCTGTAAAACTTTTGGGAGATCAGGGATAACTATTCTTGTCTCCTTCACAGTAGTGCCTTGAATCATTTATTCTGACGGTCCGTGAAAACCATTGGGGAAAAGACAGGAAAAAAGAAGCTTAGTTCCTATAATATATGCTAAATGCAATCGTTAAACCCATGCAAGGTGAAAATTTGTGAACCTGAAAAAAAAAATACGAATAAAAATAAATCATAATATACAAACTAGGGAAGTGAAGTTTGCTCTCAGTTGCATTGGGTCTGACAAACTAAATCGTTAAAATTAGTACTCCCTCTGTTAAAATAAATCGCCTAGAGAAAAAAAAAAAAACACATTCATTCTAAATTGTCACCTCGCATTTTCAAAGAAATGTGTGTGGGAACAAAATAGTATGAGGGCATATTTTTAAGGATAGAAGACATTTACTCATTGATGATTGATCCTTAACCTGTGCAGTTTTTTAGAATGTTATTATTAGCAATGGTTTTCATGAAACTGAAATTTATCGAAAGATCATGAGACGACAAAAATTAATTCAACCGTTCTAAATTACACGATAATTAATAGGAATAAAACAAGAAAGATACCTAGTGTTGAAATCAATTCAACGATTTCGATAAGATTCAACTGACCATATGATTGTGATTAACATTTTTCCAAAATTTGTCTATAAATATGGATAAATTATGCTAAATTATGAGGAGTACATGGGTTTTGGCCAAAGTGACGATCAGCATTAAGGAGGACAAAAAGAAGATCAGCACTAAGATGCCCCTTCATTCACTTTATAATAAGCTACATCAGCTGAAGACGTGTCCAGATCATTGAGGCCAAACTCCTCATTTTGTTCCCATGACCTTTCGTATTCCACATCTAGAAAATCAAAGAAAGAAGATATGCCGAGTTTAGGTGATTGGTTGAAAAGAAAATATGCACAAGCAACTATGGCCATAACAATCTTTGACATCCAAGTAAAAAGCTGGTCTTCCTTAATTCGGAAGCAGAGCATCATCAGCATAACCACCATACAACTGCTCGACGAGGACATATTTAAAAGCAAAAAACTAGTCCAAAACCACTTTCAGTTTATTTGTAGGAGAAAGGAAAAGGGCCAAATTCCAAAATTCCATGGAACACAAGACAAGACTAATAGTGAGACAGTATACCAATATGGCTGAACTAGAAAATAATTTTTTATTTATGGATTTATCCCCATCCAGTTGTGGGAGTCAAGAAATACTTACAAGACAGTTGGTGATCATCCTTGATATCATCAGTTGCAGGTGCCACGAAGGAGTTAGCCAAAGCATCGTCAATGATCAATGTCCAAGGTTTTTCCAGGCTCAAAAGCTACATAGAACATATTGCATCAGAAAATAGAAGAAGCTATAGGGAGAAGTTCACAAATACGGCAAATAATATGATATAGGGAAAACTACATTGTGCAAGCGTCGAGTGCAAATAGTATATATCATTTTTTCGAAGGAAAAAGTGCCAGACAGTAAAGCATTGAGAAACCACCACCCAAGCACTTCAGAAACAAAACTTAGCCACAACTAGACAATATATGCTTATGGGTCAACTATAGCACCTCATAATGACCATCACCTACTAAGAAGAGAGGCTAGATCATTGGACAATTTAAGTTAGTTCATATTCCAGCTAGATCTATTTAACTATATGCAGCACGTAGTTAAAACCTGGAAGATACATGGATCTTGTAAAGCAGCTTAGTTCGAGTCAATCAGGGTAGCTCTACCCTGGTCATAGGCTGCTAGTATATTGGAAAAAATGCTGCAAACAAGAAGGCAAGGGGCTGCAACAAGTGAAAAGATAAGAAGTATATAGAGTGTCATTTTTGCTGGGACAATGATAAGGAAAATGATAAAAGTAGTGGAAAATTATAGTGACTGATGTGTTGATCTCTCATTGGTGGTGGTTTATGTGATGTTACTTAACCAATGAGTAATTCACAAATCACTCGTTACACTGAAGTCACACTGACTGTTCACTTTCTCTATAATTACTCTACTATGTTTAGGATGCGCATGTCACCTGTTTGAGCCTTGTCCTCAACTCTAGCCATTTGTTTCTTTGGGAGTCATCAAGACTATCTCCAAACCCATGCACTCTCTCAAGGCCTGCAGATCAGGTAGTTAAAAAATTAGTCAGCTGTTTACTACCATTCACTACTACAATTACAAAGCCAAAAATTCATTAAACCATAAAATGCAACTCAAAAATGGAATAAGCTTTCAACCACAAAGAAAGGAAATTTTGAAAAAGGAGGGACTAAATACAGGGACTCTACAAGGCACTACTGTGAAGGAGACAAGAATAGACATCCCTGATCTCCCAAAAGTTTTACAGAAAAACTCTTGCATCTGTTCTTTATTATCAGCACCTTTGTAAAGGCATTGGAGACAACTGGTTTGAAAGTGCACATGAATGGCATAAGGATACATAGCAATCACAGGGAAATAAAGCGCAGAGAAGAGTTGATTGTGAAGTGCCAGAAATGTTTGGTAAGAGGACACCAGCGCCCAAAATGGGCCATCTTTTTCATAAAATGACTGCAAAGGCGTAAGTGCAGCAATGCTCAGCCATGTTCAGCACTTTAAATATCAGCCAGGTGTTACTAAAGTGCACAACAGCAATCTCTAGAAAAGTTCAGCTGAAAAGAATATTCTTAAGGATAATTCGGATCATTTTATTGGACCTGTTATCTGGGATTCAGCAGGTCCAGCTTTATTAGAAGGGAGAGGACAACAGAATAAAGGACAACGGCAATTTGGAACCACCCAAGTCAATATGGTGTGCTGAGCAACAGAAACAACGGCGAGCAAGTTAAAACATGAAAATACCACAATGCAACGTAAGAAGTGAAGAAACCAGAGCATTATTAACTGCATGGAAGAAAACTGTCTTCGCATTTCAGAAAAATAATTACTGAAAATATAAATCAAGTGATGGAATCCCCTCAAATTTGGAAAATTGAACATCTTATGCAGCAGCGAATGCTACTTAGGGAAGCAAATTTACTCATTGGTAAATCCTAAGTACACGAGGGGACTACCAGAAAGAAATTCAAATCCGGGCTTCAGGGGCGTAGTTCATCCGTAAAAAGACCTATATGTCATCTAAGTATTGTAATGAAAGATATATCTTTAAAGTTTAGATGACAAAGATATAGAGACATTCATTAAAAACATAACTACATAAAAAATAAAAACAAAAAAACTGGAGGCAACAATAGTAGTGGAGGATATGGGACGAAAAATAATTCCACTTCGTTTCAGACTTGATACAACCAAAGCCATCATTCTCATTGGTTAAAAGGGGGAGCACTAAGGAAGGAAACATAACTCCTAGGCTTTCCCAGAAAGGAGAGACTTAAACTCAACAAACTAGTGATTTTGATACAGCTAATATCCTTCTGGGATGTGTTCACAAAGAAGGGTGAACTAGAAAAGTAGTCACAGAAAAGTAATCACAGCTAATAAATATAAAGCTACAGATATGGTGGTCAAACCTCAGCAGTGAGGAAAAATAAATAAGTGTGGATCTAAAAAGTAATCACAGATTTGGTTTTAAACCGCATCCTTATGTAGTTACAAGTGCACTGCAAGTGTTATCATAAGGATGGGGTAAAGATTTAGAACTTACTTTCACTAATTTTTGTAATTAAACCTTCGATAGTAGTTACAAAACCACCCAAGGTCCCGCTAGCCAGCTCCAACTCAAGCTCTGGAATGGTCACACCAGCAGTATCTGACTGATTTTTAAAAAGATATTTTTGTCAGCAAATCCTTTATATTATGGCACATTATCTGTTTAAAAAAAATAAGAACACTTTCACAACTTTAAGAGTTCAAATTAAAAGGTAGAGGCTCAATGGAATTTATTCCGTGGAAGTTACAATATCCAAAAACCTAAGCCGAATACTCCTTTAAATCCATCAGTATCAGAACCCCCTCCCTGCAAAAAAAAAAAAAAAAAAACAAAAGCAAACTCCGCGAGCCACTAACTTGAATCATTTATTCTGACGGTCCGTGAAAACCATGGGGGAAAAGACAGGAAAAAAGAAGCTTAGTTCCTATAATATATGCTAAATGCAATCGTTAAACCCATGCAAGGTGAAAATTTGTGAACCTGAAAAAAAAAATACGAATAAAAATAAATCATACAATAGCTCTGCACAATTTACCTTTATGACATCTCGACTGAGATCCCTCAGATTCTCCACACGAATAATAATTTTCTTTCCTTTAGGAGAAATACTTCCTCCAGCTTTCAGCTTCACGGGAAGGGAGACACATACCAGCAGCAAGGAGAGTAAAATTTAGGACCCAGAGTGTTAAATTTTGACACTATGCGAAATATATACGGCAAAAACTAACCTCCGAGTTGCGGTAACCACAAGAATCACAAGTGGATGCCATGACTATTACTTCTCGGAAGTATGGAATATCTATGCATAGTTAAGATCAACAGACTGAAAATGTCACAGCCTAAAACGAGTATACCAAGAAGTGCTGATATAAGAACCAGAATTTATGCCACTAAAAGGAAATCAAGTTTAATCTCCCAGCAGTTACTCCTAAACTATCATCATAGACCTTTCCAATGGAATATTTTAACGCACGGTTGTGTAAAATATCCATCTTCACATAGGAAAACAAAATTCAAATCCTTCACATTTTCTTCAACCAGCTGACCTATTGCTTGTGAAATAATAAGTTAATAAGCCCCGTGATGATCTTACAAAAACATTCAAACTGGAACGTTACCATTTGTTTCTCAAGTTTGTCACCTTTGGTTTGGTCGTATAATAACAATGAAAACGAAATTTGACAGCTAACAAATTACACAGCCTATTAAACATTTTCAACGCAGTTAATCCTCTGTTACAAGAAGGCATTTCCAAGAGAATACTCTTCAACTTCTATAAAAGAAGTATAATAACCTCGTTCAGGTTAAAACAGGCTTTTTTTCGTTCCAGAAAATCATTTAACTCCAAACAATTAAAACTTGGAATTTTGAGGTTAGTTGAAGCAAAATTCAAACATATATAGTCACAACCAAGAAAATAAACTACAAAGATAAATTACTAAAGAAAACCACAGAGTATAGACGAATAAAAAGGACTTCATTTCATTCACAGAACTGTACAATGTACCGGCAGGAAATTTTACTGACATTGTGAAATCAATCCATGTGGCTCCATTATGGGATTTTTTTATAATTAGAATTGGTATTCAGATGCAATTAGTCTTATTAATTATTTCTTTTCTATTTGTCACAAGTTTTCTCAGTAACCACGAGAAATCTGTCAACCTAGATACCTGTCAAGAGGAATATACGGACGAAAGGATACTAGTAACAAACATCCTACACTCGCACTTGGCACCACAAGCTCCACAAGTTGTGGGAAAAGTCATCACCTACTTAGAAACCAGACATTGCACCAAAATAGAATTAAGTACCAAGTCCACATGTTTTGAAAATCTCATAAGCTGTGTAAAAGTTAATGTACCTCTTCAGGGGCAGAATACTTGAACAAAGTTTCTGCCACTTCTGCACTGTTTACTTGAGCTATGGCCCTACGACCAGCTCTAGCGCCAACAGATCCATGTGGCTCACTTGAACCTTGCTCTGGACCATTATTGGTATCCAATGGCGCTACATCTGCAGCTTCTCCTCCTTGTGCTGGATCGGCAAGATAGCCTAAAGATGCTTGCTGCTCAGGAGTTCTTTCATAGAACTTAATAGACAGTGATGGATCAGGAGAAGGGGCAAACCTATAGAATACAATTATCAAGTCAGAAACTGGGGCTAACAAAATAAATATTATTAAGTTCATGAAATTAAATTAAATTTTACTAAAGAACAGAACATCTTACGGATTCTCGATAAAGCTGTTACCCGAGGGATCATCAAGGACAAAAGTGAAGGACGAATCCCCGGATGCACAAGATCTCAACTTTATCAAGAATTGATCAATTGCATCAGCTGTTTGAGGATCTACTTTCTGGTACCATTCAAGCAAAAAATAGAGAACTGAGCGCAGTAAAAGAAATGTGACTTCGGACATAACAATCTAAACAAAATAAGACATGCACCTTTCTTTCTTCTTGAAGAGCACCAAGTTCATCAGCAGCACGTGTTAATATCCCTTCAACCTGCACATGAACCATACAGGATTTTGAATTGAATATTAAAAATCTAATCAACTCATCACCACAGAGAGTGAGAAAGAGGAGAGAAACTATTCTTTGAATAGAAAAACGCTCAGAATAATCCACCGTTGGCCCCCCCCCCCCCAACAAAAAAAATTAAAAAAGAAATAAATAAATCGTATATTCTTCATACAAAGGGAAAGAATCGTCAACTGATAATGAGAATAAATATACCGTGGACAAAGAACCGCGTTGGGCTTCGGGAGGAATCTCAAAATCAAGATCTGGAATCTGCATAAATAAACACACAAAAAAACAGGGAGACGAGTGAGAGTGTAAGAAAGAGAGGGAATCTCTAAACAAAAGGAGTTCTCTTAGGTTCTTATAAACAGTAATGGTGAGCTATCTAACAAAATGAGGGAAAAATCTACTAAATCGGTTTAGGTACAAATGATACCAGAAACTGAAGTGAGAAACTGCAAACAAATACCTTAATAGTTGCTGTTTCAGATTTGACTACTTGACGGTTGAGAATCTGCAAGACAATGAAATAATCATCATTGAAGTTGCAGTTCAGACACAAATTTAAATGGTTGATAATTAGCTGAAAGTGTATTAGCTTCACTCTCGACATGAATTAAAAAATAGTTAAAAGATAGGGCATATTACCAAACATACATAGGTGTAATTAAGAAATTAAGTGATGAGGAACCCCAAGATCTTCTAAATGCTAACTAGGAAAAAGAATAAAGAAATGCAAACTGAATAATTCATCAAAAAGTACTGACCCAATCACAATGAAAAACTTGACACTCATATTATTTTCTTAAAGAAAGACAAAAAAGTGTATGCTATTGATATTATATGTATTGAAGTCATGGCTGAACCTTATTATCCTGAACATCAATAATGAAAAAAGATGAGAATAGCTACTTTGGTAGATAATATCATGTTTGCAAAGAGAAAACCAGAATAGCCTCCAACTAAGGTAGATGATTGACAAGTCAAGAAACATGAAGATTCTTGCACTTAAATGGACCGAGTTAAACACCTTAATTCAGAATTTTCAGCATATTCTTACACATTATTTAGCACATTTCAAACCCAGCACAAAACTTAGATTTGTTTCTGAAATAGCCATCAATCCTAGGTACAAAAGACAATTACCAAAGCATCTCATTAGCAAGTTTATCAATTTCCCACTAACTAAAAAATCAATTATCTATCATGTTTATGTTATCATCGGGCAAAAGGACAAGTGTATTCATAGCAAAACCAGAATAATAACTAGCAAAGTAATTGAATATTCACGACCTTGCGATCACCTGGTGCAACTTTTAAACAATAGTTACACCCTCGAGGCTGGAGTTCACCAGCAAACTGCACTTCATTGTTCCTGGGGGAAAAAATAAATAAAAAAAAATCACCCTTTACAAAACTACTCTCGTTAATTCAAACCTCTATAATAGAGGAAGAGGAACAAAGGAATCTAATTACCTCTCGTGACAATGTGGACACTCAAAAGCTGCCAATAATATCTACAAGCAAAGAGAAATCATTGGTAATACAGCAAAACAAGCAAAATGGATCACTCATTACAAACTATTGAAAATTTTAGAGAAGGGAGACAATAAACCAAGTAGTGATCAGTTTGTTCTAGCTTGCTCTAACAAATAAGCATTTTACATTTCAATATCAATTGGAAATGCAAAAGAAGAAAGTAAATACCTGTCTAAAATGTGGAATCACAGTCAGCAACAATCTTGTTACCCCCTGCAATAGGAAAAGACAAATGTAAAAAAAAAAGAAAAAAAAGAAGCAAATGTTACTTCTTTTTCCATAGTCTCCAAATCAAATACACTCAAATAAGCAGCAGAATCTCCTAAAACAAATTAATCTAAACTCTTTTATGCACTCACGGAATACATTGTGACTACACAACAGTGCAGGAAATAACATTTTAACCAATACATTTCACAAGTGCAGGAGGGGGTAATATAACGAAAATAGATTATCATCCCCAACAAACGTGAGCCAAGACTTGAAGTTTCTCTCTGTCAGAACAAAGTAACCTGCTATACAATCTCTCAACTTTAAACACGGTAACGAATAGCAATAGAAGTGTCCGGGGGAGGGCGGTTTGTATTTGTATGGGGTGTAACATGTAGGTCATATCATTTTAGTTCTGGAAGTATCTCATGTACATAATAAATCTTCCTTTCAAAGTCAAGGAACAGGGGAAAAGCATCGAATTGAGTTTAAAGCCAGACCACATACGGAGAAAAGAAAAAACAATTAAACGGCATAGGCATAAAATCAGCATTTACAAAAACTTATTTCAATATATATATATATTACATAATGGAAGTCTAACAACTTTAGTCCTCCAAAATGGAACACAATACCTCACTAAAACAGATTGAACATTCATCATTCAGCATCATGACCATCTCAAAGACTGAAAATGCATCTTTTGCATAGTCAGCTAGTTACTGCTAATACTTCAAACATTAGCAACATCACATCCCAATGAGATCACATATAAGTAACATCAAGAAATATCTTATATTTATTATGTAGATAAGAAATCTCCCTTTCAAAATCTAGGTTCATGCAAGATCACATGCGAAGAAAAGCAAAAAACATGAACATGTCTTCCTGACAATTGAAGGGCATGAAGAGGAATAGGCATAAATCAGCATTTTCAATCAAACAAAAAAGGCATACAGAGAGAGATAGAGAGAGGGAGAGAGAGAGAGAGAGAAGAGAAAAGAAATCGTATTTTAGCCAGTTAATAACTTCAAAATGTAACTCAAAATGCTGAATCTCCCGAAAACATATTAGACATTAATCGTCAATATGATATTGACCATCTCAAAGACTGAAAATGCACTTTTTGCATAGTCACAACCATTTACCACTAATACTTCAGTAAGGTTAGAAATATCACATATCAAGTCATTAGACTGCATATAAGTGAATCGAGATCAAATCAAATCCATCTCATTCAGTATGAATACAGTTCTTTGGGCCTAAGACAGAGAGAACTTCAGTTCGTAAACATTTCGTAGCCAGTAATAGAAGTCATAATCATACTGAAGAAAATATAAACGAAACTTGTAATACCTTAAAACTCGTAATCAACCAAACTATAACTTCAATATCACACTGCACCACATGATTAAACAATATGGGATGGAAAAAGAAATACTTTTTTTATAAGTTCCATACCCGTGGGGTAATTTCCATCATGGAAATCACACTTATTCCGTCCTAAATCATAAGAACTTCATTAACTAAGTTACCAAGTAATTTGGACGAATCTGACTACGTGGAAGAAAAGACCAAGAAGATACATTTCAAAATCTTCATCATAAACACATTAAAGGCAAACAAATAAACTGAGCACACAGAAATACAGTACATGAGAACAAGAATGTCAAAAAACTTTTAGCAACTAATAATAACCTAATCCAGCTGAAGAGTTCCGTCAAAATCAGATACATACGAATCTTTGCAACTTTAAGAGTTCCAACTTTTCGCCACCAATTTTACCAACACATTATCAATTAATGATATTCAAAATGCAAACAATAAAGTAAAAAAAAAAATCAAAAATAAAAAAGAGAGAGAGAGAAGGTTACTAACATTCTCGCCGCAGCGCATGCAGAGGCTTTCAACCTCGTAGAGTGGAGCGTCGTTTTGATCATCTCCGCCGGAGACGGCTTCCACTACTGACCTTACGTCCATTATTTGCTGCGGCGGCTGCGGCGGCGGGGGGAAAGACCCTGCTCCTCCACCACTAGTAGTTGCTGCCGGTTCCATAGCTGATTCCAGAAACAATAAAGATAGAATCTGTTATTTATATTTAGCTGTCGAATTGAACTGGAATTGTAGGGGCCAAACAATCCACTACAAAAATTGCAGAGAACAAAATTATTGAGAATGTTAATATGACTTGCGGCGAGGAGTATGAGAGGGAAAATTGGTTAGACTCTCGTCTCGTATATATAGTGTTCCCTCCGTCCCAAAATTATTGTCCAGTTTAAAGTTTTATTTTAATACAAATTGAACTAAAAGTGAAAATTCAAATTAGATGATAATTTTGGAATAGAGGGAGTAATTTTTTCTTTTTTTCTTTTTTTTAAGTTAATGTATATATAGTAATTTGAATGCTGAGCTTTATAAGGGAAAGTGATAAAATAAAAATAAAAATAAAAATAAAAATAAAATAAAAATATATAATTACCAACTGAGGAGCCTTCTAAACTGAGTTCATCAACTTTCTCCTCCAGTTCTCCATTCACACCTGCTGCTGAAGGTCCTTCCTCCTCAGGCACCACTTTCGCCCCCAAATCTTCTCCTTCGGCCATCGTTAAAAACTGCCAAATTCATCCGCCCGTTACAACGAAGCGATTACAAATTTCAACAACCAATTAACTAAATACATATAAAAAATAACAATGGTGATAATAACTGATAAGGTTACTAAAAAAGAAAAAGAAAAAAGAAGAACAACCTTCCGATACGGGGGTTGCAGGCAGAGAATTGATTAATTTTAAAATAGAAGCTCAAACGCCGACTCTCCGATGAACGACTGAGAGGAGCTACGCCGACTCTCCAAAGTCCCCGGCGGCTTTTTAACTTTTGGGCGGAAAAAGGGTCCGACCCGATCGATAAATACTGTCAACGGGTGGGTTAAGCATTATCATATGGACCTGGAATGTGCTGATTGTGATCCAGACTTTGAATGGGCTTTTAGCCTTAAATTTCATTGGGCCACTATCAACAAAAGCCCCGCGCGCATAACATTTTGGTGGCTAATACTTTAGTCCTCATTGGCATGAACCAAAAGCTAAGCCAAAAGCTAAGCCTGAGGGCTTTTTTATGCTCCAGGCTGCACTTTTTGTTTTAATTCTATGTGTACTTCATTGAAATTTTGACCATATTTGTAATATCTTGATCATGCGCATTGTCTGAATAAGATTATCATCTCCTGTTGACAGAGGAGGTACTGCAGGGAGTTGCTGCCGGCGTTGACTTATTTGACTCTACGTATTTAAAGATGTCGCGAAGTGACTCCACACACACATTCTAATTTAACATGCCGGAAGCTGAACGGAGAAGGGAAATGGTGTAACCTGTTTAGCAGGAGGCAGGATGGCGCTTCGCTTATTAGTGGCTCTCTCCCGCGACATCTTTTCCGCTCGGTCTAGTGCCGTTTCTTCCTCCTCCTCCGGCTTTCTTCAACTATTAGTATGTCGGACCGGAGTGCCGCCGGAGGCTTCTGTGAGTTATTTTGGGCTTTCAGTTTGAGTCCTCTGTTCAATGGGTTACTTTGGGGAGTCTCTGAATTATATACTCATATTTTGATTTGTCCTAAATTATTTCCAATTAAGAATATTTTTTAAAAAAAAAACCCACAAATAAAAATAAAATCTTAAAATTATTTGATAATAATGAAGAAAAATAATATGTGTAATTAAATTTTTAAGATTTTATTTTAAGACAAAAGAACACACTAAATGATATTTTAGGAGAAAAGAGGAAGTATATTTTATTAGGAATCTATGAATGGAAGAATAAAAAAACTTTAAAAATATTTCTTAATAATTAAAAGAACACAAAAATGTTAAAAAAAAATAATTTTTAGATTTTTTTTAATTAAAACTACATATATACTAGGTAGTAAAATATAAGACAAATAAAACCCCTTATTTCCTAACCAGTTAACCTTATTATTTTACTCATTTCTCACATAAAACCATCTGAATGAGTTAAATATGCTCTACTCATCACCATTTCCAGAGTATGATTCTAATGCTAGTGCTTCGTTTGATGAACTTGACAACCATTGATTGACCTGTGAGACAATAATGATCTAAGGAAGTACAACTTTGTTTATAATTTTTTCTCCTTTTTTCTTGCATTTAACATGGGAATAAGATCAATATTAATTGATGGATTCAGATTGAGTAAAGACATTCCAGATTCATCAAGGTTGCCAATTCTTGATAAAAATTGGGGATTCACAATTAAACTCAAAAACATGTAATAAGAAAAATTCAGATTCAAGTGGTTTAAGTAATCACTCCAGTCTAAAACTTTGGATTGAAAGGAAAAGAAAAACAGAGTCCTCGACTCCTACCGTGCCGATCATCTTCCCTCCTCTCCCCCCCCCCTTTTAATTGAGACGCGTTGATTGTTATTTAGGTAAAGGAGTAAAAGTAAGGATAAAACAGTCTTTTAGAGTATAGAAAAATAATATCTCTGTTTAACCAATTTATAAAAAGAATAAAAAACACTTATGCCGTTAATAATAAATTTGATCTTTCCTCCGCCTCTTTTAAAAATTTTCCCTTTTTGAATCATGCAGGCTTCATTTGGTTGGATAGAATTGGAATTGAATCATAATTAAAATCTTATAGAATTAAGAATAAGATATTGATGTTACAATTCAATCATAATTAAATTGTTGGGTAGATCTTAAAAATTTGTAAGAAATTAGGTTGCAATACCAATTCTTGTGTTTGGATACTTTATATACTAGAATTAGTTTGTTGTTGTCTAACTAATACGATTTTTACTTTTTTCTTTTTAAAGTACCATTTTTTTTTATTTCATTTGTCGTACCAATTTGTAATTTGTTATGTACATACATAGTTATGGAAAAAAATTTATCTTGTAAGGATTATTAAATATGATTCTTGTATTTTCACTCAACACACAAACATGTAACAAGTAAATCGTCTTTGTTTGTCTCCTTTTTATTAATTATTTTTTAATTTTCAATTTATTGATTTTAAGTTTTATCTTAATAAAAAATTTTGTATTTAATATAAAAATCAATTTATTCATATCAGTATTCTTTTACATATGGATGGACAATAATTTCTATGTGTTAATAGTTACTTTGTTTACCATGCTATAACATAATAAAAAAATTAATCCAAAATTCATATAATTATTTATTAAATATGTTTGATAATTTTGATTATGGTTACATTTTATAATTTATTTTTGGGGTCATAAACTACTATTTTATTTTTAATAGATGAATCTCGTTGATAATTATTTAATTGGTATATACTATATTTGTCAATTTACAGTAATAAATAGAACCGTATACTCCCTCCAGTCTTTATTATAAGTCATTTTGACTTTTTCTATGCTTCAACTTGATACGTATTTTTAAATGACAAAAAAAAAAAACCTTAAAAGTATTTCACAACAATCAAGAGAATACAACGAATGTGAAAATATATTTTTAAGATTTTTTTGTCAATAAGAAATGTGTATTACGTGAAACTTAGAACAAATCAAAATGTCTTAAATTAAGAACAAGAGGGAGTACAAGTTAAGAAAAAGAAAAGAAAGGAAAAAAAGCTAACACTGGCGTTAATCACATAAAATAAACAAACTAATGGTTATAGTAATCAACTATGCATGCAAACTGGCTTTAACATAAGCTCATGCACTAGATACTGTCAAGATTCTTGTCCTTACCGAATGTATCGTGTTAGAAGAAGATCAAATAGTGGAACACAGAGCTCTTATTAGGCTCCCAAGCTGTAATGATTGATTTAGAATTTGTGGAATCTTGTTTCAGTTTATGTACAAACAGGAAAGTAACTGGGCTTCAAGCAGAAAAGGTGCATAATTTATCATATTACGATGTAAAACATTGTTACATTCTGTTCCACTAAAATTTAATCTTACTTCAAAAAAGTAAAAAAAAATACTCCAACATCTAACTAAGGAAGGAAAGAAAAAAAGAAAGAAAAGAAAACACGTTGGACCAACGCTAACCAAAATATTGAATTGTAATTTTTTGAAATAAAAAATAAATTCATTTTATCAGGTCAAAAACGTCGAATAACAATTGGCAAAAGAAATATACAACAAAAAAAAAACACAACTTACAATAATCCATAATGCCATTGTTGAGTTTATTTGAACATAAATCTATATTGATTTACCCTACAAAATAATTATTAGCTCCACCCAAAGAATTAAAATGAATGAAATGAACTCCATATGAGATTGAAATTGCAATTCTATACTCATATTTTTTTTCCAACCAAAATTTAGATTAGAATTGGATATGACCCAATTCGTTGCAACCAAACAGAGCCTTAAGTAATTAAATTAAAAAAATGAGTACAGTAGCAAGAAAAAGAGAAGAAGAAAGTTGCGGTTAGGTTTTAAGGAGTGGCGGTTAACTTCAATTGTTCTCTTTACTCCACCGTCCTCTTCCAATAAGGCAGCGTCGCCGCTTCCTCCTCCGCCCACCTTCCCGTCATCTCTTCGAAAGTTTTTTCTTTTATTATTATTTCTAGCTTTACAGCCGCCGTGGGCAGCAGCAGCAGCAGCGATGAAGCTAGACGTGAACGCATTGAGGTACCTTTCAAAGGATGATTTTAGGGTTCTAACGGCCGTCGAAATGGGGATGCGTAATCACGAGATTGTTCCCACGCAGCTCATCGACCGTATCGCTTCTCTCAAGTAATTTATATTTTTCTTTTTTATTTTTGTGTTTGTTTTTTTTTATCAGTTATTACGATGGATGAATTTAAGAACTATATTCATTCGATGGATGGTTCTGGGATTTGGCAGGCATGGAGGTACTTATAAGGTCTTGAAGAACTTACTGAAACACAAGCTTTTACACCATGATTCCTCCAAATGTACGGTTCCTTTTACTTTTACCTTTTCTTAGTGAAGTTGTTCTTTATGTTCTCCATGGATGATGTTTTAATCCTTTTATGCACTTGTTGAAATTTGGTCTCAAAGGAGTAGTTGAAAGGCAAACAAGTGATTCTGATTTTTTTTCCCCTCCTCCTTCGGGATAATACGAGTAATAAAAAGATTTGATTTTCATCACATATGCGTAATGTTCTGATCACATTCTCTGTGTTTTTAATGTTAGTATTTTTAGTTGATGATATTGGAGTAGTTGAGAGAAGGAAGATTCTTTGGTTTTGCTTTGTGCTTTGCATAATCATAAAAAGTTGATTTTTATCATCTTGGTTAGTGAGCTTGGCCCCTTCGCATACAAAATAATAGGTTTTATTGTAGGAAATAAAACATTGATGTTTCTTGGTGGGGTAGGAAAAATTGGTCTTCTTGCTAGGGTTGCAAAAACTGTTTTTTTTTTTTTCCCTTCTCTTTTCGCTTCTGATGTTTGACCAATCGTGTGCTAAATTTTAGTTGTAGCAAGTAGTTGAAAGAACAAGCAAGAAATGAAAGAAGAACTGTAGCTCCTACTTTTTGTTTCAGTTTGTTTGTTTGGTTGTTTTCTTTTCTTCTTCTTCCTTTTTCTTTTTCCTTTCTTTTTTTCTTTCTGAGAACTGTACATGATCATAGATGATGGGTTTCGGCTCACTTACCTCGGATATGATTTTCTCGCTATCAAGACCATGGTTAATCGAGGAGTTTTTGCTGCTGTTGGTCGTAAACTCGGTACCGGCAAAGAGTCTGGTAATTGCTTTATCAAAACAAGTGCCAATCCTAGATTTTATTATCTCTTCTGTTGCAAACTGCTGAGCGAAGTTATATGTAATCTTTTGTAGACATATTTGAGGTTGCCACTGAAGATGGCACTGTTCTTGCTATGAAGCTTCACAGACTTGGTAGGGTATCTTTTAGGGCCGTCAAGTCTAAGCGTGATTACCTCAACCATCGCACTAGTTATAATTGGCTCTACTTGTCCCGTCTTGCGGCCCTCAAAGAATTTGCCTTTATGAAGGTTATAGCTTCACTTATAGCTGTTATTTTGTCCTCTTTATTTCTAGGGTTGCTTTATAATTGGTTGATGTGAATCTTTGACACAGAGCAGGCTCTGGAGAATCATGGCTTTCCTGTTCCACATGCAGTAGATTGCAACAGACATTGTGTTGTCATGTCACTTGTTGAAGGATACCCACTGTGAGTGCTTAGAAAGAGTGGGCATCTCATTATTCCTTAAATAATTCTATATTACGATGTTTGATACTTTAAATTCTTAGAGTTTTGTCTTGTTACTTAATTTTGGTGTTGTATGTAGTGAACAGGTTAAGCAGCTGGAGAATCCGGAAGTGGTTTTTGAAACGATTACTGGCCTTGTCGTTCGTCTTGCTGAGCATGGGCTAATCCATTGTGATTTTAATGAGTTTAATATAATGGTAAACTGCTTCATAATCTTTTTCATTCATAAATAACCATTATGTGTTTGATTCTGCGTATCGAACTTCTTTGATTATGAGCTGCAAGGAAAGGAGAAACCATGTTCTGTTTATAATAGCTATATGTCTCTACTTTGCCGTAGGTGGCAGTTCTTTTCACGCTATACTTTATGCTGGGACATAATATTTTCTCCACTTATGAGTTTTCCTGATTGTTAGTAGATTGGTGATGATGAAAAGGTGACAATGATTGATTTTCCACAAATGGTATCAGTGTCTCATCCTAATGCTAAAATGTAAGTTCAATTTGCCAACCACCCCTTTGTTTCTGTTTGTTAGATCTCGTGTTTTAGGTTTGTACCACCGGAAGACTTAAATTGATTGCGTTGCAATTGTCTCTCATTTTTTTTCCAGGTACTTTGATCGTGACATCGATTGTATTTTTAAGTTCTTCAGCAAGAGGTTAGTTATTGTAATGGAATGGATTCATAATCTTTTATGTTCCTTGTCTTTTCAGTTTTTTTTTTTTATTTTTTATTTTATTTATATTTTTTTATTCTTCTTAACTATGATATTTCTTGCCCTTTTGGCTGAAATCTTTCAGGTTCAACTTGTCTTTCGAGGAAAATTCTGCTGATGAGAGGGGTGATTCAGATGGAGAATCAGATGATGTTGTTGGTAAGCCTAGGTTTGCGGATATTAGGAAAGAAAATGGTTTCCTGGATAGGGAACTTGCTGCAAGTGGCTTCTCAAGAAAGGATCAAGATGACATTGAACAGGTATGTGGACAATTACTCTGTTCATCTTTGACTTGAAAATTGAGGCGTCAAATTTTGTATTTAGAAGCAAAGATTAGGCATCAGTACCTGTGCTTGTGTCTTCTTGCGGTTCTTTTGTACTTTCTTGTAAATGAAATATGTGCAGTTCTGACTCAATGTTTTTCCTTCATATATGCACCACATGCTTATGCAGCTCATGGGAGGTGATGATGAGAATCATCCAGCTTTGGACACTGAAGAAGATGGCGATGACCACCTTGAGCAAGATGAAATTACCTCTGAACAATTGGACTCTTTGTGCTTGGACAAGGTAGACATCAATCAACTATTTGTCATAGCTTAGAAATTAGTGCGTCATAGTTGTTACGGTCTATATATTCTTTGCAGGACAAAGATGATCCTGTCGAATCTAGTAGCCACCATCTTGAAGAAACAGAAATTGAGCATGGTGGAGTAGCCGAGGAGGAGGGGCAACATGAATCTGGAAGTCTTGAAGATGGAGACGAGGTAGTTGACCCTGAACTGACGAAGAGTTTGAGTAAACAGAGAAGGCGAGCCATTAAAGCAGCCCAAGGTGGAAGGAAGGCGTCTGCATCTAGAAACTCATACAAGGACAAGGGTGGCAGGTCTTCCTACAATTCTAAAGTTCAAAAGAATTTGTGCAGTTGGTAGAGAGTTCTGGTAGAGAGTTTTGGTGAATCAGGCCTTTACAGTACACCGTGATTTGGTTGATCTCTACCATGCTGTGTTCTGTTTGAGGCTTGACTATGGTTATAATTTATAAATCACGACTCGTTGTCTAAACATATCCAAAGAATACAAGTAATTCCTACATGCTTCAAATGAAAAGCTTACTCTTACCAGTAAACAAGTTACGTACATTTCAACAAAAATAGTGAAGAGGAGGTTTAATTGGACTAAGAATGAATCTAAACCACTCACTATGAAAAAACCTCAGCCCTGAGCAGATTACCACTTGATCCTGATTTTCAATCCCCACCGGTAAATACTAGTCTAAGCCCTTAAAGATGCTTTCTTTCTTTCTCTCTTTTCTTTTTTTCTTTTTTTCTTTTTTTTTCAAGCACATGAGTTGAATTGAGTCCCATCTGATGGAGCCGAAATAAATATATTGTCGCGTCTACCTCCAATAAAGTTCCTCCGGAATTGCTCAAATCTCCCTTCCTTGATGGCTTCTCTAATAGAGCGGAAGAATCCTAGGTAGTGGTGAGTATTGTGTCTGAAAGTTAAGAAACATCTATGACAATTAGATGAAGATGAAGCAATAACAAAGAACGTATGGGTGCAAGATAAATCGAATTCATACATCTCTAATAGAGTTTGGGCCAACATCTCATGTACGTTGAATAAGTGATTCAAATATGCTTTTGTATGGTTCTGGCACGTATAACACTCGCAGCTTTCAATTATTGGTGATGTATCTTTCCTGTCAAATGAAGATCAGAGCCCAGAGTTCAGTTGCTAGCATCAAAATTATTAAATGACAATTCGCAGGAAAATACAGAATGAACAAAAATAATACACAGACGATTGGGGCAGTAAAAGGAATATTGAAGAAACCATCTTGTTTTGCAATTTATTTGATTCACTCTGGATCAATCGATAACTGCATTCTAGAACCCTAGACCAAGCAAGAAAAATGTCTCTAGTTGCTATGCTAAGAGATGAACATCATATGCATGCCAATAAGACACCAGCGAGTTGAACAGTTACTATAGTGAAAACTGACAACACCAACAGCTATCAAGAATGGCTTAGATCCTTGGACATTAATGATTACCAGTTTTTCGGATCATTGTTGACCAACTTATATAGACCATTTTGGAAGTGCAAAAGCTATCTTCCAGTGAAACCAATACATGTATGCGCACGAACTTGCAGAGGCAAATGAGCATATACCTATAAATGGTTGATTTGAGATTGATATTTGCATGAACACTCCCTCCCGAGTCACTTAGCTCGTTATCAGGGAATTCTCCAGCTCTTGTCTCCAGAGGGAGGGTAAGTGCAAATCCGCCGATGGTAAGGTGATAAATGTACCTGTAAAAACCCCACCTCACAGGTTTACATCTTTTTTTTTCCTTTTTCTTTTTTATTCTATTTGTAAAATAATGTCACAGTAAGTAGGTCAAAGTCTCTACATTATGACATGGAATAGACATACGTAGAGTCAAATAAATCAACGCCGGCAGCAACTCCCTGCAGTACCTCCTCTGTCAACAGAAGATGATAATCTTATTCAGACAATGCGCATGATCAAGATATTACAAATATGGTCAAAATTTCAATTAAGTACACATAGAATTAAAATAAAAAGTGCAGCCTGGAGCATAAAAAATCCCTCAGGCTTAGGCTTTTGGTTCATGCCAATGAGGACTAAAGTATTAGCCACAAAAATGTTATGCTTCAACTCACCAGACCCATCACAGTTTCAACAAGGATGATGAACAGCATAAATTGTTTTTTTTTTTTTTGGGGGGGGGGATAAATAACGCTCCAAAAAAAGAGAAGTCAGAAATCAGCCATGAGATGCGTACCTGGAAGTTCAAGTCCAGAGACCTGCCGAGGCTTGTCCTCCGGTAAATTATCCTGAGAAAATCAGAGAATAGATCATAAACAAAGGCAAACAAATAAAATTTACTCTCTCCACAAAATTTTTCATTTCTATAAAAGGAATCAAGTAAAACTAAACAAGAGAAGCAGAAACCACTGGGAAAAAATTTAACTGAAGTAAATTGAAGTTCATAGCCGAATTAAGGCCTGTGTGGCAGAAAAATGAAATCCATATTTCGTAATTGTTCTAGTTAAAATGTATGAAAAGCATAAGGATGAGTACACAACAGTTATAATACTTGAAGATAAATAGGTAAGCTCACTTAATCCTAGTCGATTGATCCTGCTGTGCAAAAGATGTTGGACAAATTCAAAATGGGAGTTGCCAAAACAATGATAATATTATCAAGATTCTGATAATTACTACCATAATAGCCGCAAGAAGATCTGAACGCTCGTCCATGCTTTCTCCGAGCCCAAACCCACCAATAAAGTATCCTGCGAGCCAGTTTCATACTTTCATGAATAGGAAGTGCTTTGAGCCAGTCACAATTTTTCAATTGAAATTTTCTAGTCTAGCAAGGATCATGAAAGATTTCTCTGACTGGCAACTAGAATAAAACATTTGATACGCGATCCCAGTTAGATGTGAATATGCATGAGTCATCACAGTACAATACCCTAAAAGAATTGTGAACTTGTCACTTTTGCTCTTCTCAACCCATTCCATATCACATTAAGTTGAGGGAGAACATAACTCTTCAAGGGCTACAAGTTAAAAGTTAAGTTGAGCTGATTTCACAAGATTTTAATATGAAGTAATTTAAAGCGGAGTTAAAAGGGAAAGGGGGGTAGGAAAACCTGAAACATTTCGCTTCACAACTTCTTGTGCACACCTTTGCCGTTCTTCGACCCTGGAGCCTCCCACAATGGATCCAAAAACTGTTACTCCTGTCTACATTGGTGATCAGTACAACAAAAGAGGCAACCAATAAGGACCTTATTGAAGTTAGAGAGATTATTCCAAAGCGAACAAGATTCAAAAGCATCCTTTCAATTTACAGTCCCACCAACTTAAAAGTTACCAAGAACCACAATAAATTCTCTCTCCCCCCTCCCCCACATCATATACTTAAAGCCAGTAAAAGTCAAAAAGCATTTTTGAGTCGGGATACAAGTTAAGGACAGACAAGGTGATGCGCAAGCTGTTTTGAGTGCATTACTTTTTACCTTGTTATATGAAATGCAATCGTCGAGCCACCTCAAAGTACGGTCAACAGAGGCTGTGTTCCGCTTAGTGGAAACCCAAGCAGGCACTTCATCAGCCAAGGAGACAAATAAGTCCGGCTTCATCGAAGAGACAAGTTGCATGTAGTCAGCAGGTTTTATCTGTCCAATAAAGTTGCAGCAGATGAGTTGAGAAAAAAAAAAACAGAAAGGCCCTATTAAAAGTAAGTATTTCATTCTCAGGAAAATAGAACAACCAGAAGGCGACCACCAGGAGTGTGAAAAGACGGGCCAGTCTTATTGGTGCTTTGATGTTCCGGAATGGATGTGATAGAGTCTCGCGGAACAGCCACAAAAATGTGTTGGTGCAGACCAATCATCTGATGCAATCCGCCAACATCAGAAATCGTTTTGGGTGAAATACCCTCTAAGCTGCTTAGAGAAACAAAGCCGAGACAGAAATGAAAAAAGGGGGAAATATGAATTGAAGTGAAACAAACAATTGAAACATGGCCATGCTAGTTAAATCCAATCCGGAAAAAAACAAGGTTTTCACACAGAACAAAGATCAAACAGGAGACGGGCAAAATAAAACCAGCCCAGGACCGAGACCACTGAACTGCAGAAAAATGGAATAAAATGGATGATAATAAGAGATAGAGAGAAGAAGGGTTGTAAAGACGTACAAGTGGAGTGGGCTGAATTGGAGGAGGTGAGAGTGAGGAGAAGGGAGAGAAGGGAGTAAGTCCGGTGGGATGAATAAGGGGAGGCCTTTCCGGGTAGTCAGGAGCAAGGCTGGAGTTTCAATCGGGTCAGAAAAAGTGGTTGAAAGGTGTAGAAGCCCGACCCGAGCTCTTCCGTTTCCCATCGCCGCCGCTGTCGCCGCAAACTTCATCTTTCTCTCTCCTCCTAATAGCCGCCGCCGGCGAATTGAATTTTGGTAGGGTTGGGAGCTATGATTTCAAAAAAACTGCCGCCGGATTTGATTTGCGCGCAACTTATATGGGGCTTTTGTTGATAGTGGCCCAATGAAATTTAAGGCTAAAAGCCCATTCAAAGTCTGGATCACAATCAGCACATTCCAGGTCCATATGATAATGCTTAACCCACCCGTTGACAGTATTTATCGATCGGGTCGGACCCTTTTTCCGCCCAAAAGTTAAAAAGCCGCCGGGGACTTTGGAGAGTCGGCGTAGCTCCTCTCAGTCGTTCATCGGAGAGTCGGCGTTTGAGCTTCTATTTTAAAATTAATCAATTCTCTGCCTGCAACCCCCGTATCGGAAGGTTGTTCTTCTTTTTTCTTTTTCTTTTTTAGTAACCTTATCAGTTATTATCACCATTGTTATTTTTTATATGTATTTAGTTAATTGGTTGTTGAAATTTGTAATCGCTTCGTTGTAACGGGCGGATGAATTTGGCAGTTTTTAACGATGGCCGAAGGAGAAGATTTGGGGGCGAAAGTGGTGCCTGAGGAGGAAGGACCTTCAGCAGCAGGTGTGAATGGAGAACTGGAGGAGAAAGTTGATGAACTCAGTTTAGAAGGCTCCTCAGTTGGTAATCATATATTTCTCTCTTTGGGGAGTTCGGTGGACTGAAATTTGGTCTGAAATTTTATGTTCTGATCCTATATCTCTATTTAGCTAGCTAATTACTTAGCTAATTCAACTGCCAGATATGGGTTATTCCAAAAACATCCATATTTCGTTTACGGATTGACCTGTGTTTGTTTGAAATCTAAACCCTTGCTTTCCTATTGAAATGTTTGCTAAGTTAATGTAATGGAAAGATGGGTTTTCTCAGGAACATTACGCTAGGGTTTAGAGGTATGGAAATATATTTCTCTCTCTATATATTTAAAGGTGAAGTGCATTGAGGCTAGGGTTGCATCCATTCTTGTCAGATTTCCTTTGACCTAATTGTGTAAGATGTTCTAATGCTGTAATATGTGCTGGCATGATTCCTGCATTTGCATTTAGTCTGTTCTTTCCCAAAGAGGGGTCAGTAAATTAAGTCAATAAGTGTTTGCCTTTTGTTTAGTTCATAATTGCTTTTTGTAAAATCTGGGCGCTCTTTTGTTACTGAATTTGCAGAAGCCGCAAAGAAGAAGAAGAAGAAAAATAAAAACAAGTGAGCTGATTTCTAATTGTTGCATTCTCCTTTTCTTTTCTTCCCCCTAATTGTGCCATTTGAGTGATTGTACTTTTTATCTCGTTTATTTTACAGAAAGAAAAAGGAACCACCCACCCAAACAGATCCCCCTTCCATTACAGTTACTGAACTTTTCCCATCTGGAGAGTTTCCGGAGGGTGAAATTCAACAATACAAGGATGAGTATGTCGTCCATATCTATCCTTATGAGTGTTATGCGTTTTTACCATAAGGTCCTTTTATCAATATATCAATTAGTTTTTGAATTTTTAAGATTGATGGTTAATTGCAGTAACTTGTGGAGAACTACATCTGAGGAAAAGAGGGAGGTTGAACGCTTAGAGAAGCCAATTTACAATTCTATTCGGCAGGCTGCGGAAGTTCATCGTCAGGTATTGATCCTGTTTGGATCTTTTGTCCGATTGTTTACATGAGGTTGCTTAGCAAACAAAGCTATTTTCTACTGGATTCTTTTTTCTTCTTAATTGGGAAAACAAAATTGGTTGAATCTGAAATTGATGTAACCCTATTCAGGTCCGAAAGTACATCAAAAGTATATTGAAGCCTGGAATTTTAATGATTGATCTGTGTGAGACTTTAGAGAACATGGTTCGCAAGTTGATTGTGGAGAATGGTCTTCAAGCTGGCATTGCATTCCCCACAGGCTGCTCGTTGAATTGGTGTGTCATATTTGATTTTTCCTGTGGCATCATTTTTTTTTTTTTGTTGAAGAAATAGATGTTTTTTCTGCAGTTGATGTTCCTAGCGGGCTGCTTACTTTTTTTCCTTTGGTTATTTAGCCTTTGTTCATTTTTATGTACAAAAAAAAATTTTTGGCTTCTGCTGCATCTAATTATTTTACTTGATTCTTGGTGCAGGGTTGCAGCCCACTGGACTCCAAATTCTGGGGATAAAACTGTGCTTCAGTATGATGATGTTATGAAACTGGATTTTGGAACACATATTGATGGTAGTGTCTTTACTTTCTTCAATTTTTCATGCGGATCAATTCTTTGAGTTGTTAACGTATTATGTCGGTATCCTTAGCTTGAATTTAGAATTTGCATTTAGTTCTGAAGTATATTAACATATACTTGCAGGTCATATCGTGGACTGCGCATTTACTGTTGCTTTCAATCCTATGTTTGACCCGCTACTTGAGGCCTCACGGGAAGCCACAAATATGGGAATCAAGGTAAGACTTTTGTAGGCTTGACTGGAAGGAAGTAGTTCCTTTGAAGAAAATTTATTTGCTAATTGGAAACCATACAGTTAATTCAGTTGGAATCTGTCCTTCAAATTATTGGAAAATGATTCTTGTAAAATATTCTGTTCCAATTACGAGGCGCTTTGTTCTTTTGCATTTTTAGGAAGCTGGAATTGATGTCCGCCTTTGTGATGTGGGTGCTGCAATTCAAGAAGTCATGGAATCATACGAGGTTGAAATTAATGGGAAAGTATACCAAGGTAATAATCTTGTTGCTTTAAAGGCAGGATTTTGAAGAATATATACTTTTTGAATATTTTTGACTGGATGTCACGTGTAAAATACTGGTCGACCCAAGCAGATTTTACTTGATCTTGTATCTTTTGCTATCAAACTTCACAAATGAAATGCTTTACAGTGAGTCTTATTGATGATAAATTAACTGTTTGGACCCTTTGCCACTTACAGTTAAGAGTATCCGAAACTTGAATGGGCACAGTATTGGGACCTACCAAATCCATGCTGGAAAATCTGTTCCAATTGTAAAAGGAGGAGAACAAACAAAAATGGAAGAAGGGGAATTCTACGCAATTGAAACTTTTGGATCTACAGGTGACGCTTTATTTTACTTGCACACTATAATTGATTTAACTTTTGAGTATTATTCTCTTATTAGTTAGATGCTTGTCTCACCTTTTGTTCTCTGCAGGAAAGGGGTATGTCAGAGAAGATCTCGAGTGCAGTCATTACATGAAGAATTTTGATGCTGGCCACATTCCACTGCGGTTACCCAGAGCAAAACAGCTTTTGGCAACAATCAACAAAAACTTCTCAACTTTGGCTTTCTGCAGACGGTATTTGGACCGCATTGGTGAGACAAAATATCTGATGGCACTGAAGAATCTATGTGATTCTGGAATCGTGCAGGTATGTATGTACTTATTTTGGTTTGAATGACAGATTTCATCCTCTACATTCTTTAGAAAGATCTTCACCCTTTGTATCTAGAACTTTGAAGCAGAATAAGACTTGGAAAAAGTTCTAAAGAATGACATGATTCTAAAATTTTATAGGGCTAAGTAAGAGGGCAAAGTAGTCATTGTTTTTTTTTTTTTTTATAATTAAAAAAAGAGAGCTTTCTGAGATTTGAGCTTTCCCATTTTTGTACTGTTAATAGTCTGTTTCATTGTTTGAAACTGATATTTAGACCGTTCACGAATCTTTCCCCCTCATGGTAGACTTCAAGCATAGAAGCTAAGGACGGAGGAATTCCCCTAATTGTCCCTAACCTTCTAAGCAACCTTATCTTACCCCAATTTCTCATCACCATAGTCAGCATTGTTCCATTTCAGGGGATGACCTTTCTTCTGTTCTTACTCTTCGGGATGATCATGCGTATGCTCCATTTTCAACTCAGAAAGAATATGGCAGTGGCAGCTCATAAATGTAGTCTTTAATACAAATATAGATGACAAATTATTTTATAATATAATCAAATGTAATGGATGATTTTTTTGTTGTTCACTTGCATAATGAGATAATGAGTGAATCACGCCAAAGGTAGTTCGGGCATGTGCATAGGAGACCGGTGGATGCCCCGGTTGGAAGGATAGAAACTATGGAATCAATAATTCAAATTCAGCGGGGAAGGGGTAGACCTAAAAAAATTTGGAAAGAAACTATAAAAAATGACCTGAAATATTTAAAATTGATGGATGATTTTTGTATTGACATATGGTCCATATAGATGATCCCACCTAGTGGGACACCTGCTTGTTGTGTTTTCACTCACATAATGACAACTCTCAGTATTTACTTGGTGTTACATTGTAAACGGCGCTAGCGGCTGCTGTTTGTTATAAAAAGTATTCTTGCTAAATTCTTGTAACAACATTTTTGGGGTAAAATCTCATGTGGAAGTGACATTGACTCGTTGTTCATTGTTTGTTGTTTTTCTGGTAGCCTTACCCTCCATTGTGCGACATCAAAGGGAGCTACGTATCTCAGTTTGAGCATACCATCTTACTACGCCCTACTTGTAAAGAGGTGGTTTCGAGAGGCGATGACTATTAGTTATCATTTCTCGAGAGTTTAGTAGAAAGAGCCATTGGCTCCATCATGCTACTATTTTTTTTTTTTTTAACTGTATTATTATTATGGGATAGATTTTATTAAAGCTTGAATTGCGTTTTTTTTTTCAAAATTTTGCATTTTCACATCTGCAACCCTTCCCTCCATATAGTCTTGAATAGTTTTTTGTGTTGGTTTAGTGAGAGCAATCTATGTCAGTATGAGGATTGTTTCACGACGTTGCATCTTGTATAATAGAAATGTATACTTTAGAATTTGTGTGTGTGTGTGTGTGTATTTTTTTTTTTTTGGTGGTTGCTCTGAGGCCTAATTCTTCCTTTTTCTTTTAAATTCTTTTTATTTATAGTTTTGTTATTGCAATGTTATGGGCTGCGAATTACCGAATTAGAAATAAACATGTTCGACATTTTATTCTTCGTTTCCTCCTTCGGTTAGACTCGGGGAGCCAATATGATTTCAGTTCGATCTTATTATTTTCCTACTCAATTCATAGAGTCATTTTTTACAAACGTTTCAAAATATAATCTTGTTTATTGTATTATTTCAATGCATATGATTCTTATTTGAAGCAGAAAAGAATATCAAATGTGTAATTTTTTTTTTATAAAAAATAAATCTCCGTGAATCCCGCTTAAATGTGTAATGTATATCTGTATCGCAGTCTAATATGCATACGTGTAGTAAAAGCAGATTTTTTTTTTTGGTGGTTAAAAAATGCGGATGTTTTCATTTCAAGTGTAATAAGCATAAAATGAGGACGGCAGTGACTTAGCTGCAAAAAGAAGCAGATGAAAGCAAGATGGAAACAAAAGAAGCAAACCTCTGCAAAATTGCTGGTTCCAATGCATAACTAACAACAAAAAGGAGAAGGAAAAGTAGGGCAAGCAAGAAATAAACTTCGGCCATGCCCTTTTTGTGCCACTTTTTTAACTGTAAATCACATGATACAGCAACTAGAATTCATAACCCGTTATCTACACAAAAAAAAAAACTGCTCCAAATTGGTTATCAGCTCACCAGAAAGAAAGATCATGATTGAATAAGTTGTGTTGCGTGAATAATTAAGTACTAATAAAGCATGTAGCTATCAAGAGGGATTAACACTTTCCGAATTAAAATAATTTAAAATAAAGAGGCAAATTATGGAAGGAACAACAAACCACAGTTACTTGACTTGTAATCTAATACTTCCTGTTCATGGTAAGAAAGAACAGCAAACTGCAGAAAAATATTGTCTGCAAATGTGACGAGCCTTGCAAAATCGGAATGCTCTTTACAAAAGCAACATAGGACACTTTCCATATATTGCTTTTCCCCTGGATGAGGGAAATCACTAGTAGGAATCCTAACTGACCTGGAAAAAGATAAGAAAAGAAGCAACAGAAAAATTGTATTAAAAAACATGTGATGGGTCTTTGATGCTTACAATTTGCCCCAACCAAATAGCAGTCTATAGCAGGGATCGAGGCCTTTTTCGCTTGCATGAAACACCAAAAAGCCACTTTTTATTGAACTCCTTCATGACTTTCGTTGTCATCCCAGGCATGAAAGCAAAACAAAACTACCATCCCAGGATTTAAGATAAAGTTGCCAATTATATCATTATGTTCCTTGCAAGGCATTGCTTTACTCCCCTTCTTCCTCCACTTAACGCACATCAGTCCTTTCTTTGCATCTATATAAATTCATGATCGGTTACCGCTGTATGCCCAAAGAACCAAAATACTTAAGACATTGAAGGTTGAAAAGCTTAGCTTTTACATGGAGATCAACGCAGAAAATGAGTGGTCAACTGATGAGCTAGCCGAAGAAAGGGCACCCCTCCTGGTTGTACCAGAAGTAGAAAAAACACTAGTCCAGAAAGCCATAAGTCAGACATTTGAAAGTACAGCCCACCTTGCTAATCTTTTACCCACTGGATCAGTACTCGCTTTCCAACTCCTGTCACCCATATTCACGAACCAAGGGGAGTGCGACCCAGTTGGCAGATCATTAACTTCTATCCTCATAGCCCTCTGTGGATTGTCGTGTTTTATTTTGAGCTTCACAGATAGCTTTAAGGACGAAAAGGGCAACTTATGCTACGGTTTTGCCACGCCACATGGTTTGTGGATCATTGATGGATCAACAACTATACCGCCTGCAATCGCCGCGCAGTACAGGCTCAAATCCATTGATTTTGTGCACGCCTTCATGTCAATACTGGTATTTGCGGCAATCACATTGTTCGATCAAGATGTGGTTAAGTGTTTCTATCCGTTGCCATCAGATGAGACGAGAGAGATACTCACTGCCGTACCAGTGGGAATTGGAGTAATTTCCAGCATGTTGTTCGTCGCTTTTCCCACCAAACGCCATGGAATTGGCTTCCCCCTCACTGCAAATTAAAAACATGATTTGTAGATTGAATCCTAAGATGAGATGTGATGTGAGTCACAATAGAATGCTATATAAGGTACCTTTTGTAACATATGTTTGTATCTTCCTTCAGTAGCTAAAGCAAAACAAAAGGAAATCCATTTGAAATGTCATCTACCAGCCTAAAATACAGGCAGTAAACGTCCTTGAATGCTACTTGCAAATGCGATCCTGTTAGAGGGTAGAAGAAACCAGAGCATGACATAAATGATCAAAATTAATTAGGAAATCACTGAATGCTCATCGCTAGAACGGTAAAACAATGCAAACCACTAGTGAAAGCAAAACAGTTGCCTTGTACTGGATTCCATATGAACAAGCTATGCAGCTATTATAATGGCAATGCCATCACCTTCTCTTCTAAGATAAAGACAGAAGAACACAGCAGCAACTTGTAAAATCGAACAACAACAACATATCCAGTATATTCCCAACTGGGTTGGGTCTGGGGGGTTAACTTGTAAAATCGAACAAAAAATAAAAATTTATAAGTTTATACCAGACTAATCATAACCATCAGTATGTGAAAAACAGACACTCTCAGCAAAAGGTGAATTTTTGAGACTAAAAGCTGATGAATAGTTTTTAAGTTTACCGTATCACCATTAAATTTAAATACATCAAAGCTAGCCTTTAAATTTTCTCTATTTCAATCTGTACTAAGATCACAAATACTTTTACTTTATTCTAGTTTAATAATGCCACATGAAGAGCAAATGTTGATGAGACTAACCAAATCAGGTGTTGAATGAACTCTTAGATGTCTGGAAATTAGAAGGTGAAGTGGTCATAACCAAACTCATGCAAACACTTGAGCCTCCACCAAGTTAGTAGCATCCTGCACCTTTTGCTTATCCCAAAATGCAGGCAAAACAATGCTCCAAGTTCCCTCTTCGGGGATATATCCATCACAAAGCATGTCATTAAGAATTTGAGCAGCTTTCTGTACGTCTTTTCTAACACAAAAAGAGTCAATGAGAGACCCAAATGTTGTGGCCTCAACTGAAATTTTTCTAGAACGCATGCTTAAATATAACTGAAAAGCTCGATTCAGATCGCTCTCACAGAGGCCAAGGACAACCGTGTTATGAATCTTGATATGGACTCCGTTTGTTACTCTATTCGGTACAATTCCTCCTAGAACCATTTCATCCAGAAAGTTTGCAGCAATTGAGAACTTGCCAACATCACAAAACACATTGATGATTTTCCAGTACAAACCAGCATCAGGTTTCAATCCCTGAAGCTTCATCCGATCAAAAATCTGCAATGCTTCACTAAGATTAGCTTCGCTACATAGACCATGTATCAGAGTACTGTAAATGATCATGTTTGGGGCCCTGTTTTCAGAAGTCATCATCTCAAGGAGCTTTAAAGCATCGGAAGAACGTCCATATTTACATAAACCATCCATGAGGCAACTGTAAGTGAAGACATTTGGTTCAATACCTTTGCTTTTCATCTCTACAAGTAACGACATGGCTTCATCCAAGCTATTTGAACGGCATAAGCCACGTATTAGACACGTGTATGTAATGACACTGGGAGAACAATTACTATCATGAGTCATCTCAGCAAACAGTTCTTTCGCTTCCCCAATCTTCCCCAACTGACAAAACCCATTGATCAGAGTACCATATGTGTAAGAATCTGGAATAAATCCATGTTTTGGCATCTCAAGGAAAATGTTTAGAGCAGCTTCAATTGTTGAGCTGTTTTTGCAGAGGGCTTTAATCAGTATATTAAGCGATGCAACAGAGGGAGGCACGTTCATCTTCTTCATATACCTGTAAAACCTTATTGCTGTTTTTAAGCGGTTTTCATTAACAAGAATAGCAAATACCGTAATGTATGACTTTTCAGTTGGCTCACAATCATAATCCTTCTTCATCATTTCAAAAACCCTTATGACCTCAAGCGGCTTGTGAACGCGACCATAGGCTCGGAATATACCAAGAAAAACAGCTTCGCTAATAGCGCACTTCTCATTCTTCATTCTCGAGAGCATTTCCTCGGCAGGTCTGAAGTGGTTAGCAGATAATAATCTGGAAATCATGAGACCGAAAGAAGTATTATCATGCTTAAAGCCGTTGCTGTACTCAGCTGTTGCCGAATCAAATATGGTTATCGCTTTCTGCAAGTCCTTTTCTGCGCGAATCAGTTGCTCAACAAGGGATGGAGTTATTTGCTTGGGCCATTTGAACAACGACGACTTGGTACCCATTTTCTCTTCTTCCTACCCTTTCAATCTTTTCGGGTTCCTAAAATCCACGTTCCCTGCAGAAACCATCCATCACTTGAAGATGACAAACATGGTTCATACACTCGAGGCTCTCACTCGAAAATTCATGTTGTGTAAGAAAATGACCTCCATCTAACAGCTTGAAATTGTTGTTTCACACTTTGATTTCGCAACATTTTTTAGCAATCCAAAAAACGCGTAAGGTAAAATAAATAATTAGTCAAAAGCACCAGCCATCACCTAAGAAACCATATATATAGATATATAAAGTGGGAACCCAATTTTCTAACGCAATGGAATAAGAAAATAACCAGAAAAAAAGGGAAAGCCTTCAGAACAACAGATGATACATTGTTAACAACACACTAGCAAACCACACAGGAATACCAATATAACTAAAGATGTAATCGATATTGAAGAATGGAACCAGTAAAGCTAATAATGCAAACAAACAAAATTTAATTTTTGGGTAAATTACCTTGAAAATTTGTGACTTTTGAATCAAAGACCCCAACTTTGCAAAAGGGTCTCTGCTGCTGCTGCTTCTTCTTCTGTGAGCAGGCATCTATGGAGACCTTGCAATCAAAATCTTCTGCCTTAAGGTGCGGTGGTTAGAGAAGCCCAATGGGCCTTATAATAGTCCGAGTAAGTTATTTCTTGCTTCAGATGGCCCAATAAGTACCCCCCACCACCCCCCGCATTTTCAATCCCTCTTAATTCTTGGAGAGGGTTTTGGGAGGAGCGAAATTTCTCGTATCAAATTTCTTATCTGCTTGCTGATGAGATAGCCATTTCCAATCTCTCGGTATGTCCATTTTCTTCTCCCCTTTCATGTCTTTTTTTTTTTTTGTTTCTGTCGTTTCTTAATTTATGCTTGCGAGTTATTTTCATTTCGTTCTTCATTTCAAATTATGGTTTTAGGTACTAGGTGGTCATTCACTTTTATTGGATTTTCACTCTTTGGGTTCCGGTTGATGGAGGCAGCTGATTTTTTTTTTTCATATTTTCATCTTGGTTTGCTTTCTTCTAACCAAATCGCATTTAGTTGGTTTCCCGCCATGAGTAATAGTAGAGTTGTATGTATACTTTGTAGATAAAAAGGGATGCTTTCTTGCACATAAGTGACTCTTTTGTGCTTGAGGTGATTATCTTGTTATATAAATTGTGTCATGGTTGTAAATGATTGTGACAAATTTAAAGTCCAAACTTTCTTAAAAGCAGCTGCATAATAAGGGAGGATTATATTAGGTTGCATCTATGAATATTACATCATTTTAATCTAATGTCTCCATTTTGCCCCACCTAGTTCTCATTGGCTGAAAGTTGTTGTCTATGCTGGATTTACTTGCTCTACAATCTCCTGTTCTGAGTGTGAAAAACTTTATGGTGTCCAGTGAAAAATTTGGCATCTTTTGTCTTTTCTTTTTCCTTTTTGTTTTCCCTTTCAAGTTTAAGCTCAACTGCTGGATTGGATATTTCTCTGGCTGTTGTGAGTTGAATGTACTTGGCATTTTACTTTCATGGTTGAAGATTTGTATTAAAAGGAAGCATTGCAGGGTTTTTAAGTCTCAAATTGATGTTTCTCCCTTTTTTCATCTTTTCAGGTGTTCTAAATAACAGAAATAAAAGATGATTATCCTTCAACAACAAGTTCAAGCTATACATCTTCCTTCTTCCTGTTCTATTCCATCTCCATGTGACCAGTTCCCGCGGCAAAGACGTCAGCTGCTCGCTTCTTCATCCGTCAAGGTTGGTTGGTTAAAACCCCCTTCCCCCACCAATTTTGAAAGTCGTTGCCCAGTTTTTTCCGTTTCCAATGTTTATGCCGTTTGCTCTTGTCAAGTTTTGGATTTGGACTCTTCAGGCCAATGGCTACACTAATTTGGCTAAAAGTTGGCGAGTTTCATTTAATCTTGTGTACTTTGGGAATAAGAAGCTAACATTTTGGTCTTAGCTGCAGCACAATGACTTCGTGCATGTTATTTGTTCTACAAGATCTGTTACTGTTCTCTCTAATACTAAAAGATTCGGTGGTCGAGGTAGAAAAAAAGTTGAGTCTGTGCCTCAAAATATGGATCTTCCACCCTCACTTCCTAGGAACAAGAAGAAGCCATATCCCATACCTTTAAAGAAGATTCTGGAGGCTGCCAGAGCTGATAAGAAGCTTGCAGATTTGGGAATTGAGAAGCCTCTTGAGCCTCCTAAGAATGGATTGCTCGTCCCTGATCTAATTCCCATTGCTTATGAAGTATTGGATGCTTGGAAAATTCTAATTAAAGGCCTTGCACAGCTCTTGCACGTTGTTCCTGTTCATGCTTGTAGGTAATTCATTGTATAAAAGTGTCAAATATTTTATCTTGAAGATGTCTCCCTCGATTTTCTCAAGGAATTTGCCATTTAGCGAATGTTGGGAAGTTAACATTTGTTCATTGCTCTTGCAGTGAATGCTCTGAAGTTCATGTAGCTCAAGCGGGTCATGATATTCAAGATTGTCGTGGACCTTCCAGTGGAAGCCGCAGAAGCTTTCACCTGTGGGTGAAGGGGTCAATCAACGATGTCCTTCTCCCTGTGGAATCATACCATATGTATGATCCATTTGGCAGACGAATTAAACATGAGACTCGGTTCGAGTACGACCGAATTCCAGCAGTCGTGGAACTTTGTATCCAAGCTGGTGTGGATTTACCTGAATATCCTTCTCGGCGGAGGATAAAACCTATTCGCATGATGGGAAAAAAGGTAATTGACATAGGAGGATTTGTTGAGGAACCACAACTTGTTGGGAAATCTTTAGATAGAAATTCACAAATTATGGAGTTTGACACATATAGAAGTCATGAGCGCTTTTCACCTCCGAAAATGTCAGAAGTTCCTGGGATTGCTCAGGAGACTATGAATGCATACATGAAGGTCCAATGGGGTGTGGAGAAGTTGATGCAGAAGTATACTGTGAAGGCCTGTGGTTACTGCTCGGAGGTTCACGTGGGTCCCTGTGGTCATAATGCAAAGCTTTGTGGGGAGTTTAAACATCAGTGGAGGGATGGAAAACACGGATGGCAGGATGCAACAGTGGATGAAGTGTTTCCTCCCAACTATGTTTGGCATGTTCGGGATCCAAAAGGGCCTCCTTTAAGGAGTGCGCTTAAAAGGTTTTATGGAAAGATACCTGCTGTAGTTGAAGTCTGTAGGCAGGCTGGAGCTCATGTTCCCGAGATATACAAGCCGATGATGAGACTTGACATTGTTGTCCCTGGAAATGATGAGGCTCGATTGGTTGCTTGATGAGGTTTCTCTTTTCAGGAGATAAAAGAGAAAATAATATGCAACTTTTTCTTCATCATTTTTGCTTAATTGCCTCCTGTCAGTACTATAATTCTGAAGGACTTACATAAATAGATGTGTATATCTGTACTTTTTGTGAAGTATAAACTTTTTATACAACTCCAACCTCTTTGCATTTTTTCTTACAGAAGAACATATTTCTATTGTCACTTCTTAAGACCTCTCCATTTGTCTCTTCTAGTGTTGCCAGTGTATGTATATCTTATGCATATAAAGAGGCACAGCCTTAAGCTAGTTATGCTAAGTTGTAAGTTGGAATCAGAAAACTGTAACTATCATTTTTTTGATTGACTGCAGATTTCGACTGAAGAAGGGAATAAAGGGGATGAAAAAAAGAGTCCCTGTTTCAAGTGGCGTGTTCTTATTGCATATGATGGCACCCGTTTTTCAGGTTTTTGGTCTGCTTCAATTCTCTCGATAACTTGATGGGCTGTCACCCAGGGTATTGTTTGTTTTGAAATGGCTGTAAAATTTTTAGATTTGAGAATGATAGTAAACTCAATTGGTCCTGTCCAATGTGCCATTCACCATCTGAATCTGCTTCTTTTCCTAATTTCTATCACAGGTTGGCAATATCAGCCGTCAATACCAACTGTTCATCGTTCATTGGAAGAGGCTTTAACTCGGATTACAAAACTAAATCGAGAGAACCTTGGTTTAGTCGGTGCAGGAAGAACTGATGCAGGTGTTCACGCCTGGGGTCAGGTTAGGTCTGTTAATTACAGAGTTACAAATGCCGATAATAACCTATGAAAAACTATCCAGATGGTAAGTAGTTTGAGAGGATATATTGTCCTTGCTACAGGTTGCACACTATGTTACACCTTTCAACTTTGACAACCTAGATAGTGTTCACAAAGCGTTAAATGGTCTCCTTCCTGAAGATATCCGAGTTAGAGAAGTTAGTGCAGCTGTACCTGAATTTCATGCGCGTTTCTCTGCCACAAGAAAGATTTATCAGTACAAGATATTCCATGGCTCCATCATGAATCCGCTTCAGAGACATTACGTTTATCATAGTGCGTACAAGCTCAATGCCGACATTATGAGGGAAGCTGCTCAGCGTTTTGTTGGGACACATGACTTTTCTGCTTTTTGCAATGTATCGCACAACGATGGGATTCCAGATCCTGTCAAAATAATCTTTCGCTTTGACGTAATTGAAATGGTACATAAATGTCAATCAACAATCTTTAGTGTGGGCTGTAGCTGATTCGTTTAGTTTGTAGCACTCAAGTTTGTGATTGTCTTGTTTATTGTATATATTGTTTGTGTTTATTAATATGCAAATATATTACACTTATCAAGTTGATAAACTCAGATCTCGATTTTGTTCTTATGCAGGGTCCTCTTTTGCAGCTTGAAGTCGAAGGAACAGGTTTTTTGTATCGACAAGTCAGGAACATGGTATGGATTCACTGTATTGATTCACGTATTTCGGCTAATGAAAATGAATTTTTGCTTGAATTACAATCTTCCGAACGAATTCTTGTCCTAGGTTGCGCTGTTGCTTCAAGTTGGAAAGGAAGCAGTTCCGTGTGATATAGTTTCATTGATTTTGGCATCTCGGGACCGTAAGGAACTTGCCAAATTTGCGCCGTTTATCCCACCTCATGGGCTCTGCCTTTTGGGAGTGAAGTACAGGGAAGAACACCTCAAACTACCAACTGATGCTCCTGCAGTTAGCTTTGGTAGGCATCATAGCATTAACAAATGTAAGCTACCACCCAATTTTTAGGGACATTTCTATTTTAGAGTTATTTTCTTGACAGTCGCAGAGCGCCAAAATACACGTGACTCCTATGGCTGACCTCAGTGAGAGGGGACCTAATTAGTTTATTTCATGACTAACTCATGTAATAATACAGTGAAAAAATAGTCAAACCATTGTTGTACTGCAAGCCACAAACTGTTAAACCTTTTACTACTACAGCAGAAAAGTGCCAAGGTTCAACAAAACAAAACATACGCTAAATTTAAATTCCCTCAAAATGGAGAAAAAGTTCAGCGAACTCGGTAGTCTTACAATACCAACAAAAAACATTACAAATGGGAGGATCAGGGACCAACAGTGTGGCTTGTAGAGTGATTGGAAATTGAAGTTTTGACATGCTTATTTGTTTTTTTTCGGTCAACAACTGGCCCCCCATTGGTCGATGCATCAGTACAATAAAATGTCCTAAAGTCTTCCCCTAAAATACTAATTCTCCTTCTAACATTTTCAAGTCAATGCAAGATGGCAATAGTTACAGGAGTGATGAAGTGTTGTCCTCCAGTGTTAAATCGGTTTGTAGATGCCGGAATGAGTACGAATCATGGGCCAAAGACTGCATCATCATGAAATTCATCATTCATTAAGCAATATTCTAAGGTGCAAAGAATGGATATGCATATTTGAATGCCATTCCGGAACTTAATTAAATGTAACAATGTCGGAGAGGTACATAGAAAGACTAGTCCAAATATTTCCATCTGGAAAATGCAGGAGAAAAGGATGATCAAAAAAACCTGCACTGCATTTCCTAACAGAACAATACTTTGCAGCTTATACAAATTCAGATTTATTATACAGCAAAATTTCAAATAGAAACCATAAATTGGATGATGTGGATTAAACCGCAGCCGTCCATTTGTACACCTCACCCTTGGGGTTATCCATTTAAGGTTAGGTGAAAACTTTAGATTCAGCCCCCATCATTTCTATAAAGTTTTCTTAAGATTGTATTGTATGTAACACCACTCGTATCAAACTAGTTCAACAAAGTGCACTATTAATACGAGATAAAGGGAGTAATAATATTTAAATCATCAATATACAGGACCTTGCTATTAAAATAGCCACAGAAGACAAAAAGGAAAAAAAAAACCTGAAAGCGAGCATGACAAATCATTTACCTGTTCTTGAGCTCGGAAATACATGAAAGGTGTATAGTGGAGGAAATTTGAAACCCTTGAAGTGTAGATATCGGCATACCTGTCGTATAATCGACAAAATCATACTTCAACTATTCTGTTGATATTATCTAGACTAGGGAACATGTCAGGAAAAAATCATACTTCTCAATTTGCCTCATTAAGTGGCTTTTGTCCCAAAGACCGGCACGTGAGATAAAACCCCATCTGAAAATGGACGGACAACAAAAAATTTATGAAATGCTTCAATATGGATCAAATCAGAGGTTGCATTTACTACTGGCTTTCAAGAGTATGAAGATACACACAAAATTTGAATGAGTTGCTTCCAGACCAATAATGTAAGCACTTGAAAATAAACAATAATTTGCGGATAAAAGATTTAACAAATGTGTTTCTATGGTTTTGGGAAACAAAATGCAATAGTATTTATTAAACTATAATGGTAACTTAATATCACCTTTTATTGAAGTGCTCCCCATCAGATTCCAGCATTGGAGCGATTTTTTCATCAAGCCTTTGCATTACAGCGAGCAGCTTTTGCATGCTTTCAGTGAGTTCTTTGTCCTCCATTTGAGTGGCAGCAAGTGTCTGTTGCATGGTAAAAAAAAAAAAAAAGAATGATCTCCTAGACGGACTTGGAAAAATGAAATGTAGAAAAATCATCAATGGAAGAACCACCTTTAGTAATGTGTAAGAAAACCATCAAAAAATTAAAAATACATAGATGCATATTGATGGTAAGAAATAGTGGGCACTGAAACTTTTAGAATGACATAGAAACTAATGCAATAGATTCACAGCTAAAGCAGTAGCAAGAATGAGATTGGAGAAATCGCCTGAGCAGGTCGCCCCTTGTCTCTCCTCTGCAGGGCCAGCCGAAGTTGGTTAAAGAGATCTCCCACAACCTCCTTCTGATTTAAGAGATCTATCAGCATTGCCCGATGACCATGACCTCGTATTAAAGCATTGTACTGCAATACATCAGCACCAAAAGTATATTTTACTAATAAGCACAGTTTAAAAGGTCAGGCAAGTCCAACAAAATAACATACAAGCGGAAAGATATAATATAAGCAACATTCTACACTAAATTCTATCAATATTCAACACAAATGGGTGGTCTGTACATTATACCTAATGATCTAAAGGCTAAAGCATATTATATATATATATATATATATATTTTTTAATATGAATATTACACATTTCACATTTTAAATAATTAAAAACTTTCACAAATAATATATAAAAATAATGGTTTGAAACTGAAACCAAAACTGCCAGTTACAGTTTTGGTTACAAATCTTAGGAAGCATAACCAAACTGCTATTAGATGGTTTCGTTACGGTTAAGGAACCGAATGAGGACGGTCCAGAATACAGAACCTAAACCCCAGTTCAGTTACAGTTAAAACTGAACCAATGGCCAAGTCGATGGACCATGCATTTGTACTTTATACCTATTTCATAATTAGATGACTTCACTGTAATTCAATTGCTAATATTTGTTCTCGAAGATAAAATTAAATAATAAAATACTTTTACGTTTTTTTTAGAGATTATTAGACGTGGCATAAAATGTTTAACCGAATTCGACAATAACATGTCCGTGGCTTCTGTCTTATACTTTATCTTATTTATATGATTGCGCTAATATTTGATACCTTAAATTAAAAGTTCAGAACATTTATTGCTATTATGTTTGTTTCATTATGTGCGTTGAATTCCGTTTCTTTTTAATAAACTATTTCAAGTAAACACACTCAATGTATCATCCATACTCTTTCTTGTCAACTATTACGCGTCAAGATAGATATTCTAACTAATATTCATTGTAACTGATTTCCTTGAACAAGAATGGAGCAAAATGATTCAAATAAGCAGAATTCAAAAGGTCAAGCAAGTCCAAAAAATATGCAGCTTTTCAATTCTATAGAAATAAAAACAATTAAGACCTCATCTTCGATTTCTCGACAAATTAACGCAGTCCTCCATCTGAGATGAACTTTAGATTGGCTGACATCGGTGTATATGTGATCTCCTACATACAATATCTCGTCTCCATGAATGCCTAGTGAATTCTCAACCATCTGTGCACTGCCTCCAGAGTACAAACCCCCTGAATTGATTAACATAAAAGATTACATGCATCTGACAGTTTTTTGCATTACTTGTCATCTCTGACACTTGATGAAATTTAGCAAACAGCAAGGAAAGATTTAATACAAAAAGCCCACAAAACAATATAGCCCCATATTCAACAGTCCAGTTAAGAAAATTGATCATTCAGCAATAGAGCATGGGTTTTTAAAATGCATAAGTAAAACACGGGTACAGATTTTTGAGATGCTCACTTAGAATAGGATTTGGTTACAAATAAACAAAGTAACGACTACAATGTAAGGAGCTTAAAATACCTGGACGAGCCTTGAAACACGGCCGCATCAATCCTTCGCCAGTAACCACCTCATACATTGGGTGAGACATTTGGAAAAATTCTGGTTTTCTAGCCGAAACTATTACCTGTTCACATTAAGAATTTCAAATCGTTACGATCTTGAGGCCTTATTCATTTCTCATAAAATCATTTGAGAATATATTACTAAATCTATATAATTTATTATTCAAGAAATCTACTCACCATTTCAAACAGATCTCTCCAGCTCATATCATTGGGGAGGAATCTATTAAATGAGTGCTGCATCATTTTGTCCGTATATTGAAAATCCGAATTCGTGATAAGCAAGAGCTTTTTGCCAGCCTGATAGACAAAAATTACGCAAAACAGATGTCATCTTTTATTCATAATCCCACAAAACGACAATCACAATAACTGAATGACGCAAGAAGCAGAATCAAACTAGAATGACCTCCTTTTGATCCAATAATGCCAATGGAAGCTCAGGATCAGGCTCGACAAATAATTCAGGCTTGGACGTTATCTCACTCTGTAAGGTTGACAGCAATTAGTGGATGCTAAATTGATCGTAAATAATCCCAAAGAAAGAAAGGGGAAAAAAAAACACACTACACACAATAGATATAAATACCTTCAGCTGACCTTCCACATGGGCCCTAAATAATGCCTTTCCAACTGCCTAAGAAAATGCAGAAAGTCAAAAGTCCATAATGTGAACACAGCATTATCGTATGACAGAGTTATTCCTACATACCTTGTAAAGTCCTTTATAATCGAGGGGAGTAAGATCGCCTGCTATAACTCCATCATCCAATCTATCAACCATCTGCAATAAATCAAGTGTATTACAGCTTAATCTAATGACAAAAAACAATCACAATTTGACGTGACAAACTGTCAATGACAAAAATTAGTGCATAACATCTCAGTCACCTGTAAAATATCTTAGAGAGAGAGAGAGAGAGTATATTCATCAAAATCAAGAGTGTGCTGTGTATATATTGAGATTGAATAGCACAGATTGGTTCTAGCAGCAGTTTACCTGCATATAAGCCACTGCTTCAGAAACAGAAAAAAGAGTGTTGAGGAATTCCCATCGGCTTTCTTTCCGCAGATCTACCAGTTCCCTCCCATATATCTCACTTCCATGAACAGAAAATTAACAGCCACTGTAGAAAATATTACTCCAAATTTGCAGCATACCACATATCCACACACAAAATAGAGTAGGGGAAAACAAAGAACATGTTGAGGTCACTTTTGCGGATATGAAGAACACAGAACTGGAGACACTTTGGTATTATTATCTGTAAATTATACTCAGAACAGCAAAGTAGCACCACTCCGGATTCAATCATTGTTGTCAAAACAAGCAGTAAAA